CCGGAGCTGCACCCAGACCCTGAGCCCGCCGCCCGGCTGTGATTCAACCCACCCCAGACCTTTTCCCCCATTAACCTGCATGATCTCCCTAACCACCTGAGGACACAGCTTTCAGGTTTCAGCTAAAGGCATCCCTTGATCCCCCAAAGTATAATTTCAAAATCTTGCATTTGGAAGGCGTCATCTCACCTCATGTTAAGAAAACGCGACCCTTCTCAGGGTGGGGATATAGCTGTAGCTCACTAAGTTAGTTGAATCCTTCCCTGGCATGCATGGAGCCCTGGGTACCATCCTCAGCATTAGCTAAATTGGATGTGGTGGCACAAGCATGCAATAAGACCAGCAGAAAGAGGCAGAAGGATAATCCTCCTTGGAAACATAGTGAGTTCTGAGTTCTAGGACACCCTGGAATGTATGAGCTCCCTTATCAAGAGCTGGGGATGCCTTGTTGGGAGGAAGCTCTCAGCAGATGTGGGAGAGCGTGGTGCGGGGTAAGATCAAAACATATAAACATATGAAACTGTCAGCAAAGTAAAACATTACAAACCACCATGAAAAACAAAACTATTTCTTGCCCCTTTAAGGACACATACCCTCTTCTCTCAGGTCAGAAGTCTGCCTGACTCTGACTAGTTTTCAGATTGTTCTCCTTGCCCAACTCCCCTTCTGGATGGTTGAGGAAGTTTCCAAACCTGATCCTGGAGTTTGATCGTCAATCCAGGATCAATGGTTAGAACATAGCTATCCACAATGAGCCTGCCCTGGATTATGGATGGATACATAGAGATTAGAATTCTGTGACTCTAAGATATTATTTCAACTGCATTTGTGTGTGTGTGTGTGTGTGTGTGTGTGTGTGTGTGTGTGTGTGTTTGTGACGGTGGGTGTATCAAGGTCAGAGGGCACCTTGCAGGATTCTGTTTTCTCCTTCCACGATGTGCTTTTGGTTGATCAAATTCGGGTCCTCAGACTTGGTGGCAAGCAAATTTATTCATTAAGTCATTTCCCAGACCACCCAAGAATGTAATGACTCTGAACAAAGATGGATTGTGCTGTGAGCATGTTGTGACCTAGGAGCACAATGGAACCCAGGGCTCCACACAAGCACTCTAACTGAGCACATGAGGTGAGCCCCCCCCACCCCCCGGAGAAGAGGTGAGACTTTTAAAATGGGGTGAGATGATGCCTTCCAGTACAGGATTGAAATTATACTTTGGGGGACCAAGGGTCAAAGGTCACTCAATCTAGAAGTCAAATGAAATGTGCCTTGTCCCTACCTGTTTATTAGGTGGAGGCTTGGCCTAGGCTTAGCCAATCAGCTGCTTCTACACAGGTTTTTCCACTTTGGGGGAGCAATACAAAGATGCAACAAAGCCAGGGAGTGGACAAGGGAGTGTTTAGGATTATGGCTGGTGTCCTGTGAGCCCCTGCCCTGTTTTGCCTGTCTTAACTGCTATCTGTTAGCAGAGCCTGTTCTGCGGCCTTCCTATTATTGTGACTATAAATTCTTTTTTTCCTTCTCACTCCAGTCAGACAGACCCTGCTGCTTACAGTTTAAAACCATGGCAACAGGGAGCACATCCCACTGAGCTGTCACAGTGCCAGGTTGTCAGAGGCTCAGCCATTGCCTTCCTGGAGACTGTCATACATCCTCAGATCTTGTCTGTTCACATGCTCTTGGGGATTCATGTATTAAATCCTGCAGAGAGCAAGGTCATTCTCCCCTTTCTTTTTCAAAATTGTGATTTAATGTACATAAAATAAAATGCCCAGGTTCTAAAGGTTCAGGTCATGATTCTAGAATATCATATACCGTGGCTAGGCACACAGCCCAACACTAGATCTGGAATGCTGTTATCCCAGAAGCCTTTGTGCTTCTGCTTTGGTGACCCCTCCCATTGGAAGCCCAGAGCTCTCCAATCTGAGTTTTGCTTCAGAGAATCACAGGGCCCTTCCCTACCACTCTTGGGTCTCAGGGTTTGGGGATTTTGCTTTGTTTTACATAGCTTACATGTTTAATATCCAATGGTTATAGGGCTGTATAATCAATTCCATGGGTCTCATGCACTTCATGGCCTACTTCCTTCATCCAAAACACAAATAAACAACAAGCAAAAATACATATAGCCAGGAAGTCTTTAGTTCCAGCGCTCAGGAGGCAGAGAAAGAAAGATCCCTGTGAGTTTGAGCCTGGTCTACATATTTTAGCTCCAGGACGACCAGGGCTACATAGAGCAACCCTGTCTCAAAAATCATGTAGGGGCTGTTCAAAGGATCTACATGCAAAGACACTTGCCCCAAACTTGGCATCTCAAGTTTGAGCATCAAGCCCCACATAGTAGAAGAGAACTGAGGATTGAAAGTTGTTCTCTGACCTTCATATCTGGTTACTACACACCCACCCCTCCCAATAAATAAATAAATGCAATAAAATTATTTCAAAGTACATATACTTAAAAGTGTGCCTTAGACCCATGTTTGCCCATTTTTTTGTGGCCCTAGAGCTGTGCCCTGTGACATGTGGGTCAGTCAGTCAGTCCTGAATGTTTCTGAGTACCTGTTCTATGGCACTGTCTCCTCCTCAGGGCATAACATGTTGCCACCTTGGATTTTGCTGGTAGCCATGGCAACTAGAACACAGCAATGCAATGGTAGCCAATTTGATGGTAAAGATAACATCAGTGGGGCTATTAACATTCCTAACAGATGTTTTAAAAGTCATAAAACCCGATGGGCGTTGGTGGCGCACGCCTTTAATCCCAGCCCTTGGGAGGCAGAGGCAGGCGGATCTCTGTGAGTTCGAAGCCAGCCTGGTCTCCAAAGTGACTGCCAGGATAGGCTCCAAAGCTACACAGAGAAACCCTGTCTCCAAAGTGACTGCCAGGATAGGCTCCAAAGCTACACAGAGAAACCCTGTCTCCAAAGTGACTGCCAGGATAGGCTCAACTGCAAGGGACCTTAAGAGAGTCTAAACTACATTCAAGAAAGACCCCACAATGTAACTTCATGAAGTCACCATCCATGATGAGGTTTGTCACTGTGGCAATGCAGTATTTTGGGAGTCACCCACACTCCTGCAAGTAACTCTTCACCCATGTTCTGTAAACAACACCCCCCAATAAACTCACCAAGTTGGACTTCAGTAAAATCCTACCACTGGTGTCCTTTTGGGATAAATTGAAAGAAAAGTGAACACCACAGTTGCATGCCACTATTCCAATAGACGGGATGAACCCACATCCCGTGGGTTCATTGTTTGCTTCCAGCTTTTTCTGTTATAAGCAAGGATCTGATCTTTTTTTTTTTTTTAAACAGTCTCACTGTGGATATGTTTTCATCACTGTCCCAGGGCTGGGGCACAGTTTCAGGCTTTGCTCACTTGGTATCATCAGCTTTTAGAGTCAAACAATCCCTCATCACCTTTTTAGCCAGAGTTCTACATTGTAGCACACACAGATGCCCATTTTGAGTGTGTTTCACGGTATCACTTTCAAGCTGATCTTGTGACTAAGACCTCACCCATGAGATGGGAGCAAAGGGAACATGTGCCGGTCTGAATCAGGTTATGGAGGAAGCCTCCTCCTTCCCCATCATTCTCTTTCTTCCTCTCTTGAGATAGACTGTGAGTGAGGTGCTGGTGAGGCAATGCTGTCCTGGAGGAGAGCAGGGCAGGGCACAGAGTCCTGGAGAGCTTCATAGAGCAAAGATGCCTACCTGTCCTGTTGCCCACCCTCCTCTGCAAAGTGGGGGGTATAGGGAAGCAACCTCTGCCATGCCAGAGCCACCAACAGCTCAGACAGAATTTCCCCAAATTTAAGATCTTTTAGTCAGTCTTGCCAAGGGATTATTTTTCGAAAGATACACTCTGTGCTAAGCAATAGAAAATTTTCCAGAATGAATGGGGTATCAGATCCAGTCACTCTGCCCCTGGAGGCGAGCTTGTAAATGCTTAGGGAACTGAAAGAAAGTCCAGGTGATTTAAATACCAAACATCCCCAGGGACTGGAGCTCAGTTATCAGAATCTCCAGGTTCAATCCTTATGCACACTCACACATACACACACACACACACTAAGCATAGAGGCACACACTTGTGCCAGTATGTAAGAGGTGGATGTAGGAGGGTAGGAGGGCAGAAGTTCAAGGTTATCCTGGGCTACATAAGACCTTGACTCTCTCTCTCTATTTCTCTCTCTCTCTCTCTCTCTCTCTCTCTGTGTGTGTGTGTGTGTGTGTGTGTGTGTGTGTGTGTGTGTGTGCGCGCGTGTTAGTCTGTCTGTCTCTCCCTCCCTCTCTGCCTCCTCTCTTTCCCCAAGTGTCCATAGGGTCAATGGAACTTTTTCATCAAGGACCCGGGTTAATGCAATGTGACAGGCTGTCAGAGCATCGGGGCCATAGACACTCAGAGAAAAGAAAGACTTACGAATGCAGGAAGACCTGCCTGCCAGGACAAGGTTTGTCCTGGTGTCTGACCTGGGTGAAGCCACTTTATTTACCCTGGCCATCATTCTCCTATCTGCAAAACAGAGGTTGTTTTTCATATGTGTGTTTTGCTCCAGAGAATAGGCTTAATAGTGTTGTGTTATGAGTATCGTTGGGATACCCATGATGTGTAGAGATGCAGAATCTCAAAGAACTCTAAAAACAGAATGGAGGGGCTAGCTCATGGAGTTGGTCCTCACCATGAGGACCTATGGGTCTTCACTTTGGATAGTTATTTTAATTACATTTTAACTAACTTTCTGTTTCAAGTGTTTGAAAGCCCAACTTAAACTGTCTTGAGTGGAAAAGGAAATGTACACGATAGCTTTGGGTATGACCAAACTTGGACACTCAGTCATTGGTCCAGAACCCAGACCCTTCTCATTGGTCTCTGTTGGCTTAGGTGAGCCTCTTAGCCTTTCTGATGTTGGTTTTTCCATTGGTGGAGTTGAATGATAACAATGACCTCATGGCATCCTCTGGAAA